CTACTTATTTTTGTCCAGCTTTAACATCGGTATCGATATCGGTTATTGGCTACATGAGTTTTAAAATATCGGATATCGGCCAAAATCCCAATATCGTGCATCCCTAGTTTTAGTCTAAATGATGAAAATCAATTTTAATCTGAGTCATATTATAGTCATGGCTCATCCAGGCGGTACTACTAGGACCCGTCATATAGCCTTTGAGTACCGACAGGCCCACCCGTTCCTTACCTTCTTCCATATGGCGCTTGAGATTCGTTGTGTTCTTCCCTGCCATTTTGAAGCCGCAGACTCTTTGCTGGCGTCTTTCCTCCGGTCTCTCCACATCTTGGCCACCACCGGCATCTGCAGCATCATCAATCATTATCATGCAGGTTGTTTTGTTGTCCTTTACATTGTAAACGAAATGGCTCCATACATCCAGGCCCTGTTTTCGCCCCGCTCCTCCAACAAACCTTACACCGGTATCCGAGCCCAACGCAATGACTGCAAAGTTAAGCTAGCAACGGTTAACTGCTACCAGTGATCCTAGGAGTATAAAGCCCTCTGTTACTACTGATTGAGCAGCGCCATGGCTTGTAAATTCCGTCTGGTCTTAGTCTCGTTAACGAAAATCCTTTTTTATTAACGTCATATTTTTATTTTGCGGAAACAATCTTTGTGCGTCATCATCACGGGAAAAAGGGCCATTAACGAAATATTTTCGTCATCGTCCTGGTTGACGAAATGAACACTGTTTCAAACATAATATAGAAAAATCACAGTTTCGAAATTAACAGGATTTGTTTATTTTTTCCCATATAATGGTGGAAACAGATTATATCAGGTGGCTAAAATGTCTGATCTCCGTTTAATAAGTTTGGCAAATAATGATCAAATGTGACCAAATCCACAGGGTTTGTTGTTAATGAAGAGAAGAATAAACACAGTTAAAGACTTGCAGGTAAATTAATTTCTTCCCATGTTATGGAGGGGGAACCAATTATTTCAGGCAGCTGAAATATCCATTCTCTCCTCCTCCCATATCTTTGGGAAATAAAGAGCAAGTGTTTCCAAATTCTCAAAAATTATATCTGATAGCATGTAGTATACTAGAAATGTCCTTAATCCAGTAATCTGTCATATTTTACATTAGAAGGGGATTTACCAGAAAGTCTACACTCTCGTCTTCACCCTCAGGGCTAAGCCCCTGATCTCCTAGAATACTAGATCCGCCCCTGTCCGGAGATTTGAAATCCAAAGCTTTTAGAATAGAATAGAATAGAATGGAATAGAAAATCCCTTTATTGTCCCAAAATGGGGACATTCTGGTGTTTATAGCAGCAAAAAGATTATAGAAAAAAAAATGGTCACCTTAGAAAAATGTATAAGAATAACATGATAGTGAAGAGTTAAAAGATAAAAAACAAAATACTGTACTATAAAGTGTTTTAACAATATAAAATTGCAGAAAAAGAAAAAAAGTGGGACAAAAATGACAGTTGAGAAGATATAACTTTTCTTTGTCAAATATGCAGAGTATATGAGGAAAAACAGACTGGCTGTATGAAGATCTGCAGTTTAAACCTGTTGTCTGCGTGTTCTCAGAGGTATGGAGTGGGACACCGGGCTGCATGGGAAAGGCTCCACAGTCAAATCTCTGCTGAGCGAACTTTATGAGAAGGCTGGTGACCTCAAGCACTGGGGCCTCATCAGGATGATATCAGGCATGCTGAAGAAGAAGGTGGAGGAGCTCGACTCGGTATGAAGCCATCTCTGCACCAAAAAGCATCTTCGTTGTCCAGAATTCAATCCCTATTTGGAATTAATCTAAAGTTGATTGATCTGGTCATCGACTGACGATTAATTAATGAGCAGAAATATTCTTTAAAAACAATTTTCTCTTTGGGCGTGCTTCGGTGGCGCAGTGGTTAGTGTGCACATATATATCGTGTATATATATATATATATATATATATATAT